ACACACACATACAAGCAAAAACACATATATACACAGGCAACACATACATGGACAAACACACACATATATGCACAAGTACATACATGCTAGTAAACACTCACATGTAGGCACACAACACACACATAATATACAAGCAAACACACACATGCCCAAAACACACACACACACACACATACACACAAAACAATTTAACCCTACCCCTCCCTTCGCCCTCCCCCCCACCCACCCAACACACACACACAGCCAAAACCATCCTCACTTTCGCCCATTTAAAATCATCTCAGAGACCATATGCCAAATACCTACGTTTCGCAAGAGGAATATGACTAAGTGGAAGAGGAGAGGCTCCACACGGTGTCCACTTGGCCTTCCTCTTCATCAGGTCCGAATTCCTCTTTGGTGGCTCTTAAGTGACGTCGTGTCGAAGAGACGATGACAAATGATCGTGGAAACCAAGTTTTGATATAAGTAAGAGAGGCGGGAGAGAGATTGGAAGTGGGGGAGGGAGGGAGGGAGAGGGAGAGAGAGGAGAGAGAGGGAGAGAGAGGAGAGGGAGGAGAGAGGAGGGAGGAGGGAGGAGGAGAGAGAGGAGAGAGAGAGAGAGAGAGAGAGAGAGAGAGAAGGAGAGAGAGGAGAGAGAGAGAGAGAGAGAGAGAGAGAGAGAGAGAGAGAGATGAGAGAAGAGAGAGAGAGAGAGAGAGAGAGAGAGAGAGAGAGAGAGAGGAGAGAGAGAGAGAGAGAGAGAGAGAGAGAGAGAGAGAGAGAGAGAGAGAGAGAGAGAGAGAGAGAGAGAGAGAGAGGCAAACAGACCGAAATAGAAAGATATAAACAGACAGACAGAGAGAAAGATCCAATTCAAAATGATATATAACGGTTACACTTTCACCCGTGTCCAAAATTCAAATAAACGAGATATAATTTTCGGTCTAATATTCATCAAAGATCAAAGTGTACTTGAGAAAGGGTGCGAATTATTATTAGAGACAAAATATTACAACCTTGAGAAAGAAGTTTTATTATTATTATCATTATCATTAATACTCAATATGTATGAATGAAATGGAGACTAAAAATATGTTTAAGGATTTTTTTTTCTCTTTTTTATATAATTAATAGACAAAGGTACTACTAATGATAACAATTAGAATAATATTACCTGAACAATTATGCTGCTTCTGCTAAAATGGATACCACTGCCATTATATTAATACTCTATGAGGATGACTACAGCTTTAGCGGTAATGATGACGATGATGATAATGATGATAAAGATAATAGTAATAACAACAACAATGATAATAATGAAAGCAACGATAACAATGATCATTAAAACAATAAATCCACATAAAAAGGATGTTAGCCATCCTATCTACCCCGTTAAGAAGAAAAACAACTAAAAAAAGAAAAGAGAAGAAAAGAAAAAAAATCGTTAAAACCGTTGTCGTTAAATTTCGCGCCACAAAAAAAAAAAAAAAAAAAAAAAAAAGTTTATGAAATTATGAGATTTTTCAGCCTGTCTGCTAAACTTATGTTTTGTTTTGCTTCTATTTGGGTTATTTGTTATATGTAAGTGGATTTTAATATAATTCGCAAAAACAAGCCAAAAATAATTGCTCTAAATAACAACAACAACAACAAAAAAAGCTGATAACAAATTCATACTGATGACAGTGATGGTAGGATAACAAAAAAAAAAACATAACAAATTCATACTGATAATAGTGACGGTCAGATAAGGCAGTATTATTACTAACGTTATCAATGAAGTCAATATAATAACAAATGCAAAAAGAACATCAAAATAATCACAAAGAGACGTAAACTGATAATTCCACTAAAACATTGCAACTGAAAACCATAAGAGACGAAATAAACAAATGATATATACACAAAAAAGAAAGAAAAAAACGTCTGGCCGCATGGAACCAGAAATTAATAGCAAAGATTAAATGGTGATGATAATGAGGACGTTAATACCAATAATGATAACAACAACACTAATGATAGCAACAACAATAATGTTACATTGATAATAACATTAGTGGCTCTACAGGTGTGATGGCAGTAGTAGTAATGATGATGATGATGATAAAGATGATAAGATGATGACGATGACAATGATGATGATGACGACGATGGCGACGATCATCATCATTTTTATTATTATTATTATTATCATTATAGAAAGTTATGTAAATAGTCACACTGAACATTTCGAGAGTTGCACCAACAAAAGTATTAGTGCAGGTCAAAACACAGCCAAAAAGAAAGAAAAGATAGAAAACAATTAGCTATTCCTACAGAAAAAAACCGTTAGCTGATCTTTTAAGCTTATCAAGAGTCTGAGAAGTTACAATCTCTAAAAGCAAACTACTCCAAATTGCAGTAAAAAAACTTTAGTAACTCTTGCAGGCTGATAAAAAATGGTAATCATAATCAATGATAATTATAATCATTATCTTTGTGAATATGAAGATGGTGGTGATACTATTATTGAAGTCATACGGCCAGTTTGTTAAAATTGTGCCAGGCCCGACCCAATAAATTTTCATAAATACAGACGCAGAAATAAAGGCATATCTGTCTATATATCTGATAGATATACATTTAACTATCTATTTGCCCGGTTGATATGCATGTCTAGACTGATAGAGATGCATTTACTTCTTTATTTATGCATGTTAAGTATACGAATATTCTTTGGGTCGGGCCTCGCACAATTCTAACAAACCGGCAGATAGTCTCCGACCAACACATCACAGTTCCCCCTAAAATACATTTGCTAGAGCCCCCTCACTGCAAGTATGGACAGAAAACAGTAACCCAATGACAGAAAACTACCACACGACTTCCTGAACACACTACCACCTCCACCACCCGTCTGTGTCACACTGAACCACATGTGGCTTAGTCAGAGCGGTCTTCTATTGGTTAAAACCGACGCGCCACCCTCAGGATAATTCATTATTCTGTTTGAAGGTAGGTTTATATGTCTAAATGTAGTGTGCGATTTTTTTTTCTGTTTTGAATAACGGGCAATTATCTGCTCAAGGTTAGAACAGTTATTTAGGCTTCATACAAATGTTCAGAGGTAGGTTTTGTGCTTGAAGCTGTCATTATGTATAGTTCTAAGCTATATTTCCTGTATGTTATATTGTTATTACAACAGTAACCCGAGAACACACATTTAGTTCAGTATATGCATGATTATTTTTTGAGGTTAGGGTTGAATATATATATAGGTTCTATTATTGCGATATATAGTTATATTTTCTTCTGCTTGATTTTTATTGATATACTTATTGATATATTTTCTTTTTGTTGTTACTGAAGGCATGATGTTATTTTTCAATCATATTTTTATGTCATTATTGAAGTCTAATACACGACTCCATTAAGATATTGACGATGTATCTGAATGAGAAATCAATTGTTCCATCATTATACCATTACTGATATACCATCGCATTTTGAAGTTGTAAAACTCTATTATTAATTTGTGGCGTTGAGTTATTCCTTCATGGCACGATTTTTTTTTCTTTTTTTTATATACATAGAAAACCATATTCGTAGATTTACAGGAAAACGAAAACAGTGAAATAGATAATGATACTTATCCAAAGTCAGTGTCACTTGTCATGCGAATCTAGCCCCGCCCACTACGTGTCCGCGACCAATCAAATCACGTTTGCTGTAGGATACAAGGTTAAAGTGGAAATGCGAAAAGACAAAGAAAATTTTATGTATGGTGATTTACTCTCTAATACCATTATATTTCCAAAAGGTGTTACTTTTCATTAAAATACACGTTTTTTCTTTTCTTTTGCATGTACAGACGACTTTATATTACAAATAGATATTAATGTGATTCCACATATGTGTATTATATTATATACATATGTATATGTTTTTCTATCTATCTATCTGCCAGCCGCCTTTTAGACGAAAAATAATGGACATATGTTTACATCTGCACAGAACATTTTATTGATATATTGTCTATCTGTCTATATATATATTTGTCTCTATCTACCTATCTGTATATATATGTCTATCTATCTATCTATATACATATCAGCGTTGATATATATATATATATATATAATTATGCATAATACATATATTAATATATAATCATAGATATGTATGCATATATATTATATATAAAGGTACATGATAGATAAAGATATATATGCACATCTACACACGCACGTATATTATTATTATGTATACACATGCATATACATACAGATTCTCTCTCTCTCTCTCTCTCTCTCTCTCTCTCTCTCTCTCTCTCTCTCTCTCTCTCTCTCTCTCTCTCTCTTCTCTTCTCTCTCTCTCTCTCCTCTCTCCCTCTCTCCCTCTCCCTCTCTCCTCTCTCCCTCTCTCCCTCTCTCCCTCTCTCCTCTCCCTCTGTCCCTCTGTCCCTCTGTCCTCTGTCCCTCTGTCCCTCTGTCCCTCTCTCCCTCTCCCCTCTCTCCCTCCCTCCCCCCCCTCCTCCCCCCTCCCTCCCTCCCTCCCCCTCTCTCTCCTCGCTCATACACACACACACACACACACACACACACACACACACACACACACACACACACACCACACACACACACACACACACACACACACACACACACACACACACACACTCACACACACCACACACACACACACACACACACACAACACACACACACACACACACACACACACACACACACACACACACACACACACACACACACACACACACACACACACACACACACACACACACACACACACACACACACACACACACACACACACACACACACACACACACCACACACACCACACACACACACACACACACACACACACACACACACACACACACACACACACACACACCACACACACACACACACACACACACACACACACACACACACACACACACACACACACACACACACACACACACACACACACACACATTTATATATTAAAATAAAATCGGCAAAGTCTCGGGCTTCATAGACCGCACGAGCTTCACTGTAAACAAACCAGACGAGAAAATCTGACCGGCACTTCCCTAATACTCTTTCGTAAGTGTTTTTAACATTTATTTGCAATTGACACTAATTATGGAGCTTCATACAGGTCTTCTGAATGTTATATCTACACGTGGATATTAATTGTAGGTTGATGTATACTTAGGGAAGACTCAGACGACGCGTAAAGTATATACAAAATAACAAAATTAAAAAATACAACTTTCCAACATTGATAATATTTACACACACAGAAAAATAAATTCACCAAAAAAATTAGATATTACATGATCTCATACGCTTAACAATTTTCCTAATTTGATTGTGCAGTTTGGTGTGACTTTTTTTTCCCCTTATGTAAGCCTTTGCCTTCCAAGTTAATCTAGCTCTCCTTCCATTAATTGGGTTTGGGAAACCTATGGGAGATTTATGTTTGGTAGGATTGATTTTGGGGTACAGGTAAATTTCCTGCCAGCCGCCCTATAGACGAAAAATAATGGACAATATGTTTACATCTGCACAGAACATTTTATTGTAAGTAAGAATTTAATTGGTCAATATATTTATATATCACACCTTTTCTGTTTCTAATGTAAATATATTTTCCACTAGGCGCCCAATTGCTCTAATCAGCATTTACGCGTTATGGGGCCTGAACCCATTTTTCGGGTTTCTTCTCACGATCTGGGAATATGTGAAAGGTTAGACATTTCTTTCCCATAATATTGTGGTTTGAACAACCAATGCCTGCACAACGCCTTGGCATTTTTATGCAAAAAAAAATAAAATTCTTGGATAAACAGCAAATCCTTATGCACACATAGTGAGTTTTTGAATGAACAAGGGTTAATTTTTACCAAGTGCTTGTTGCTAGGTGTGATCGCTACACTTTACCGAATCGGTCTATTACCTGTGCAAGTTGAAAAACATAATACTTTGGTACACATTTACATAAAGACTATACTAAGATAAGGTAAATCAAAAGACATTTCCAATAAGAAGGAAAAAATTACAGTCACTGAGACTAGAGATAATTTATGCTGGCAAAGAATAACATCAGAATTGAAAATAGGTCTTGATAACTGCTGCATGGAGAGTAAGTCCATGGCAATTGGGTGGGTGTCCGCTGGCAGAGCTCCTGGTAAGGAAATACAGCAATTGGATAAGGGTTCGGAGGCAAAATCCCTAGGTTGGGATGGTGTCTAGTTTATACTGTGATGTTTGTAGATCCCAAGGAGTGGCCAGAGTAATACAGACTTAGTCTCAGAGGGTTGTGGTCACTTCATAAACAATTAGCAATGCTTTTACTTACATTTATGAGGGAAAATATCCTATTGGATTTAATTTCAGTCCTAAAATTAATGTGTACACTACTAATCGAACAGTCCCCACTACTGTATTGTTTTTTAATAGGCTACAGATACTATTTAACACTGATTTTTATTTTCAGACTTGAAGCCAACATGTTAGCGTTTAGTAGAACTGCTCTCAGTACCCTCGGCAAGCAAGCGACAACACCCCAAAGGCTGATAGGGTGTAGGATGTTGTCCACGTCCTTCATAGCCATGCCCACTGACAAAAATGTTCAGCTGCAGAACTCTTCACATTCAAGTCTAACCCCGCTGAGGCAGTCTGGTTTGAGAAGGACCTCACCCTTTTTACAAAGTTCCGGCATGGTTCTCTGTCAGATTAGGAACTATGCCAAGGGGAAGGATAAGAAGGGAAAGGGTAAGCAGAGAGAAGTGCTTTAATTCAAGGTCTTGTTTTTCATTTATAGAACTTATTTTAAGGTTTAAGATAAAGTAAGAGAAATGGAATTTAAGATATGTCTTGTTTTTCATTGATAGAATGGGTTTTGAAATTAAGAAATTAAGATTTTATAAGAGAAATGGAATGTAATTATAAATTTAATCACTGCTTATGCCATAAATTATATCTATAGAATTTTTTTTGATAGATAGATATTTATGATGTAAGTATATGTGTTCTGGATGTATAATTGTAATTGATAACTATTGATGAATCAATTTCCACTATTTACTATTGCAGGAAAACAAAAAGTCCACCTTAGTGATAGAGAAATGGAGGAAGTGGTGAATGTAGAGCAGATGAGGAACCAATATGCACAGACGCTGGAGAATTTGAAACAGGAATACATCAAGAACCTATCCCTCAGAACAGCTGTAGGTATGTTGTATTGTTTAGAGGTATTTTGGGGGTGGAAAGCATGTGATCTCTTGTTTTGTGTATGTGGAAGCATGTGTTTAAGAATGTGCAGGTAAATTTTTTTCATGAAATAAGTTTTTATAATGGCTCTGGTGCTGTATCCAAAGAAGGTAGAATGGCTTGGATTGATATCAGAGTAAAGATATATGTAGTTGAGCAGAATTTAAGGTAGTTATTAAAAAAAATATTGATACTTGCTACGGCATTTTGTATAAAATGTATTTTTTTCTATAATGAAATATTGTTTTTTGTTTCACTACATAAATGTATATCATGTAGATTCCAATTTACATTTTTCAGACATGTTTGATTATTAATTTGTAGAATGCTTAATGTTATGTAATACATTATATTCACTACCAAATACTCACTACCTACTACTTTATATAAAGCTCATTGTATTTTTATGAAATGAAGACCTTGTATTATCACATTGAATACAAAATATGCAATGCATGTTCAAGAAATGATATTGCACTGTGCATATTTAAGAAAAAGTGTTTGTAATAATATAAAGTAGTGATTATACCAATAGTCTTAGTGAGGAGTATTTTTTATTTCATGAACAATCATACAGGAATAGAGTGAAGAAGGAATGTACCAGGATTTTAAAACCCTTGTCTCATACTTTATTCAATTTCTTTTTAGTATATAAATATTTTTTTTCTGGCAAGGTATCAGTGTGGTAGTTTTTTTACTGTTCATAACAGTTGTTATTACTTATTTCCTTTACTTAAGATTGTATAGAATTATACTTATATCTCATGTCTCATTATTGATAAATAATTCATTATCATTACTTATCTATCATTACTACATATTACAGTCGCTCATAGCTTATCTGTCTGTTTAAATACTAATATTTTACCTTATATCAGGTAGAATAGAGACCCTTCCTTTGCTGTTGGAAGATGAATACCCCTTGAGTGAAATTGTTTTGCTATTCATAATATTTTGTTATTTATTACCCTTACTTACGGTCTTTTGAAATTATACTTACATTTTGTCTCGTTACTGATAGACAATTCACAATCTTTACTTATCTATTATTGCTACATATTGCTGTTACTCACAGTGTATGTATCTACTTAAATACTAATGTTTTACCCTATATCAGGCAGTATAGAGACCCTTCCTGTGGAGTTGGAAGGGGACGAATATCCCCTGAACGAAATAGCTCAGATTTCACGCAAGTCACCCCAGATGCTGCTCATCAATGCTGCGGCCTTCCCACAAGCCCTGCCGGGGATTATAGGTGCGATAAAACAGTCCGGAATGAACCTTAACCCACAGCAAGAGGGAACTACAATTTATGTGCCCATTCCAAAGTAGGTGTGGGTATTTTACCATTCATTTTTTTCTAGATATTGTTAATGTTCCTCAGCCTGATTGGTATTCATATTCTTACCATTCTTGTTTGTTATGATTTTATACTCTAATTGTTTCGTGCATTTGTTTTCCTTCTTTTATGGTCTCTTTTTTAGAAGCTTTGTGGCATAATGAGATACTCTTTTGATGGGAATTTCATCACGTGAAATGCCCTATTCAGATTCTATTTGTATTTTATCATAATAGGGAAAGTGAAGAAGGAAAAAGAGTATGGAAGAATATTTTCTCATTCACATGTGTTCCATTTTAGTAGTTTTTCATTTCTAATCTATTTGATATTTTTGTCAAATCTATCATTATTTTTTGGGGGGGAATAGGGAAATTATATATACTGTAGAAGATTTTTTTTCTCTTTTCCTGTGACAGTCACTTTCATAATTAAGTTATCACTGCCTGCTAGAATGCCTGTGGAAAATTTTCTGTTATTGTGCAAAGTTTCAGTTAGTAATAGTTTTATTTCTTGCTTAGTGGAAAATAAGAATTTGGTGTAGAAATTATTTAGTCAGTTATGTTTTCCATAGGTTTGAGAAATAAGACGAGGCCAGATGATTTAAACTGGGAATGTCATATATTATGTGAATTATTGAATAGTGATCTTTAATGTAGGTATGATTATTGTACTTTGTAGCATAAAATATGTAATATGGTATTCACTATTTGGTTAGGATTAACCTTATAGTACCTGGGGTGCAGTTGTTCATATCATTTATGTAGGGTCCTGTGGAGAGGCATGATTCATATGTCATCCAAACTGTCATGTTAAACTGATAGAGGGATATTTGTAAATATTATTAAACTGGTAATAGGGGACATTTATAAATTTGATGATTAGTGTGTTGGAGTGCAAGGTAAACCAGTTGAAAAGGTATTCAAGAACTTATATGACAAGTTAGGGTTAATTTATATGATTACTGTATTACAGTAGTCTATTTATTAGGACTTCTAGTTGCATTCATTTTAGAGTACCAGTACAGTATATTATACTGATTTATTCATGCTCTTATATCTGTGCTTATTGAAGTTTTTTTTTTTTTACTTATTTAAAAGATGATGTACTTGTCATTCTTAATTTTGATGTATTTTTTTCCTCTTTTGCTGAATGGATTGTTTTCAGATTGAAATTAGTCTTTATAACCTCTAAATGTATTATTTTTATAATTGAAGTCTGAAGTATTTATACACAGTTCCTTTGCATATAAACTTCTGAGGAGGATATTTACTCTTCTGTTAATCTTTGTTGATAATGTTTCTATGTTATATTGTTTATACATGATGATTGATATCCAAGTGAATTTGTGAGGAAAATAATGCAGATTTTCAATTAGTGTGAGTATGATTTCTACAGTGTATGCATT